AAGGAAAACTGCTCTGATTCGTCTGTGCATCGTGTCTACATGCTTCTGGAGTGCATTTACGTTCAGAGAATACCATGCATTGTCTACGTAGCTTTTTAAATCTTGTAAATTAAATAGAAGAGGAGAATGCTGTCGGATGCGTGTTTCCACCATATCTCATACATTTTCTATGGGGTTAAGATCCGGGCTATGCGGTAGCTAGCGAAGATGTTGGAAGTCAAACTGATGTTCAACGAACCAATTTTGATCACTTCTGGCACGATGTATAGCTGATTATAGTCCATGAACCCTCGCATCAGGATAAAAATGCAACATTCCAGGGTGCACTTGATCTTCCATTATATATAGGTATCTCATGGTTGTTTGTTTACTCTCGAGGAACACCAGGGCACCACTTGCATGGCAACAGAACATGCCCCATATCATGATACTCCCATCAGACTCTTGCACAGTGCGAGTTAGGCAAGATGGCTTCATGGGGTTCTCACCAAATTCGACGTGTTCCATTTTTTGTAGAAGCTGATAGAGCTCTACGGAAATGCCTAAAGAACTTTATAATATTTCTATATAGAAATGCTTCTATATAAAATTGTACAGTAATTTTATAAAGCTTTTACAGAACAGAACTTTATAGAAAATTTGTTTTCCAAAATTTAATAGAAATTTAACCTTTCGCACTCTTGGTCACTACTTGATTTGATGCGGTAATTCGAGAGGTGATTCTTGACTACACTCGGTTTGACACAATAATTTGAGCAGTAACGATGTTTATTTAGATTTAGTTTGGTCAGTATCGCTTCATGAGTGTATTCAAAAATACAAGCGTATAAAACAATTGCCGATCTTTAATCTTAAATACGTTTTTTAGATTTATTGTTATATATGTGTTTCCGACTCGACAATCTTGGCAACAGGAAAATTATTTCCAAAGTTACGGAGTCCAGTGAGCATGGAATACGATGAAAGAATCAATCCAAATGAAGATAAAATCGATTTCTCGTTGATGAAGAATGAAATTACGTTTATGCGTAGATTACTTGACGATACCGACGAGGAAAGCAGAACTGAAGATAGTGATGAAGTAAGAGGTATAAGAAGGCGAAAAATCAGGGTAATAAATAGTGAATGTGAAAGCCACAGTGATTCTGCAGAAGAGCCAGAAAACTGAGAATAAATAAAATGCACAGAATCCGAAGAAATACCTCAGAGAATACTGTTTATATCGGCAAAAAAGGCGCGGGACTGCAAGTATCTTCAGACATAAAAAGAACCATTAGATTTCTTTAAATTGTGTTAAGTTCTTTAAATTACTTAGCTCTTTAAATTGTGTGCGAAATAATTTACATTTAAGAAATTCATAAAATATGCGGAAAATCGTCACGAGTTGCTGATTCGCCCAAGTGAAAAAGACCTTGAGTGATAAGAGTTAATAAATCGAATCGTATACTATAGAAACTCACAAAATTTTGAAAGTGTAATCAAAGCAAAATTTTAATGAGCAAAAAATAAACACTAAATAAACATTTAATAATCTTACATATTAAAAGTAAATTTGTACGGGGCGAAAAAATACAACATATGGCAGGAGTTAACGAGGCTGAAGATAAGAAAAGAGGAAAAGGATAAGGGTGGTATGGGTATTTTTAATCATAATAAATAAGTAAATAAACAGTATGAAAAAAGAAAAACTCCTTTAAAAATTATACACACTGTATCCTCTCGATTATCCTGGTGCGGATTATACGTCAAAGGCGAAGCTATTCGCAAGCATGTGTAAAAAACAAATACGCGCACATCTGAGTATGGAGAAAGATTCTTCCTAATATAGAAATTGGAGATTTATCTAATAGTTAAAAAGTCGAGTTAATAACTGAAGTTTTATGCCAAAAAAATTAAAACATAAAATTCTTCGAACGTGTCGATCGTGAAAACATCTAGGCATGGTTCAATAGCGATTCTACCAAAGTGGTCTCTTTCAATGTTCGAGTGATGCTGATATGGTTTCAAATGTCAAAAGAACAGAATAGGCAGAGAGTGATGGAATGAAATGCAATGATAAAATGGCATTTCGAAAAATACGCAGCGAAATTCGACAAATATTTAAACGTTCTCAGAAAAAAAGTGAAATTACTGATATTTTTAAAAAATAAACACAAGCAATATGCAAGAAAAGTAATAACTTGGATTATCCTTGTTTTTCAATTATGAGTGATCCGCAAGAGTCCGGATAATCGAGACTACCCTTTATTTGGAAAATGCGCAAGAGTAAACTAATCTGAAGCATTCACTGACTGGGTAAGCAAAAAAGGAAAGTAAATGTAAAAGAGGCACAGGGTTGAGTTAAGACATTTAGAGGTCCTAACGCTTAAACTATTTCGGTACCCCTACATAAATTTGCAATATAATGCCTGTTTTCCCCCTTTCTTTTCACTTGGTCTTAGATTTAATTGCACCATACATTCCATGGCAGAAAAGTCGGAGCAATCCCCTGATAAAGGTACCAGCACCATCACGAAGTTCAGTTTAAGAATCAGAGAAAGCATCTTTTATTGAGGTACTAGAAACTTTATGATGGATTATGGTGAACAACCTCCGATGTATTTTAAAGGTGTCCGTACCCTTATGAGTTTCAATTTAGAACATGGAGAAAGCAACTTCCATCGAAGTGACATACGTTTATGATGGTTTCTATCTTGGCGAAATCTCTATCATAAAGGTATCGACTTCTTATACTGCACTTACTTCTTATACTTGGACACTGTTTCTCGAGGATGCCTTCTCATCCTGTTTTTTCCTCACACCTTCTCTCTCTGTCTTGGTTTAACTGCACCATACATAAGACGAGGGTTGTTCGGAGTAAGAACATGAGACAGTTCGGGGTGATCATACTGGCGCGGCCAATTTTCATAAACGTGACCCAACGTTTATGGAAATTTACCATTGATCATCAGGGTACAAAAATGCCTCAGCATTTAGACACAAAAGTGTCGACACTCTTATGTATATACCATGATGAATGCAACTTTTATCGAGATTCCGGGACGTTCCTCTGAAGATCTAACTGAACAGCCGCCGACTTGAATAAAGTTGCCGGTATATTTGCAAGTTAGCCATTGTTCATCAAGATATAAGAAGTGCCTGTCACTCATTTGAAGTTTAGTTTTTAGTACGAAGAATGCAACTTTCATTAAGATTCTGAGACGTTCCTAAGCTAACAGTCACAGACTTGAATAAAGGTGCCTCAGCCTTATGGAAGTTGGCCACTGTTCACCAAGACATAAGGAATGCCTGGCACCGTCCTGAAGTTCAGTTCTTACCATGAATACGCAACTTTCGTCAAGGTTCCGGGTCGTTTCTATGAAGAATTAAGTCATCGACATAACGGTCGTCGACTTAAATAAAGGTGCCGGAACCTTATGCAAGTTAACCATTGTTCATCAAGAGATAAACCAGGCTAGACAACCTATGACCTGCGGGTCACCGAATGATCCATTTCATAATGTCACGGTGACTCACTTGATTTCCGAAAATAAAGTATAATATATGAAAATAAATTATAAAACTTAAACATAAAACGAGCACTTGAAGAATGCATAAATAATAAACCGAAAATAAATAACAACAATAATATTTTTGTTTGATTACAAAACTGCAGTAATGAAAATGCATTTTTACTTTTTAAAAATAAAAACTGTAACAGAATTTTAAGAAGAAATCGATAAGTTTGGCAACACATCTAAAATGCATAATTCCAAAAAATTGGCTTTGCGGTTTTGTCCGCATTTCGTTCAACTTATAAATGAGAGCAAATATTTTCACACATGAAATTCATTTTAAGTAAGGTCAGTAGAAGTTTAATATCGAAAATTCAGATGCTTGTTGTTCATCTTAAGACGACTAATTATAAGCCAAACTCAACTAAACTCACAGCACAAGTTCAGCATCAGGGCAGCCATTGATATCGAAGAGAAAAATAAAGTTCATTCAGTTATGTTTGTTTTTATAATAATGATTAGAATCAGAATTTAAACTTCTATGTTTAAAGTGTATTGTAATTATTTTCTCAATAAAATTTATCTTATTATTCACCAAGAAAGACTGTTCCAAAATGAAAATAACCATTGACCCGAAAGGCCTTCTTAATATATATATTTGGTTGATTATGACCCGAAGCCAAAAAAAAAGTTGACGTCTTCTGACATAAGGAATGCCTGGCACTCTTTTGAAACTCCGTTATTACAATAAAGAATGCAACTTTCATCGAAGTGCCGGAATGACCATGGTCAGGTGTTTATTTTAGTGAATAATCATCAACGTGCATATAGGTGGCCGCACCTTTATGAAGTTCAGTTTAGAACTTGGAGAAAGCAACTTCCATCAGAATGCCATACCTTTTTGATGGTTTCTCTCTTCGCAAAATCTTCGGAACAAAAGTGCCAGCAACTTCATACAAGAGAGCTGCTGTTGCCACGGGTACTTGGCATAACAGTGTGATATGGAGATGGCACCATTATTTGGTTCATTTTATGACTTGAAGAAAGAAACGTCCGCCGAGGTGCTGGTACCTTCGTATCACAGCGTTTTTATTAGGAGTCATGCCGAAATCATCTGATAAAGGTACAGGCACCATCACAAAATTTAATTTATGATTTGGAGAGAGCACATTTCATCGATGTGACAGCACCTTTATGATGACTTCCGCCTTGGCGAACAATCGCTGACTTGAATAACGGTGCCGGCATCTTTAGCGAAATGGCGTACGTAGAACCATCGGCAACTCGGGAAATTTCCCGAATTATGTATAGTACAGTCAGCCCCTGAACATACATTCCATACATCCCCTAAACATACATAGCAAAAACAGCAATGGGAAATTCTTTTGGTGCCCCTTTTCTTTTACTCCCTCATTACCTTTCTATGGTGCCTCCTATTCTTAATGCTCTAAAAGCATGTGCTTATTTTACTTGATGGATAGTCTAGGTCTAAAGAGAGATATTTACCTTGCTTTTTCTACATCTGTTATGCAGCTTCCGATCAGTTGTCTCACCAAATCAGTAAACGTTTGTTGATCATTTTGTGCCACCTATTAACGAAATAAATATCAATAAATTATTTATTCAGCATTAGGATAATTTGATACTACTTATTATAGCTAAGTGAAACACTACCTCGGTGTACATCATTAATCCGTTCCAAATCCTTGGACGTATACCAAAAGAACTTAGCAAAAGCAAACAAAATATAGGAAAAATAATTAACCCCTTAGAAAATATCGTACTATTATTATTAGAATATTGTTCAATACTAAAATACAAATGCAATGGGTGAAATATATATTGAGCACAGATGAAGCACTCAATTGGTACACTCAAAAAATGAAGCACTGCACTTCATACTGTATAAGGTATTTCTCCCGCTTTCTTGGCATGCCTTCGTGGCGTGGTGGTCTTCATGTTGGGCGTGTATTCCAGAGCTCCGTGGTTCGATTCCCGGCGAAGGCGTTGCTAATTTTTCATCTCTCCTGCTTCCAAAAGATACCTAATGTCTCTATAACTGTACATAAATGTTTTTCTGTTACCCAGATCAAAAGCAATTATTCAACACGCTCTAACGTCTCTGATCTTTATTTTGGTAATCGATTTCATCCTATCCAAATTTTAGCCGGTTTATAACCTCTTTGTGTTTAACAATCGTAGACACCGCCGTACTCGGCATTTAGAAACTCGGATATGCATGCCATTTTCATACTTTCCAACAATCTCTTCTTTTATCTCCATGGTGATCCTAACCATTTTGTTCATTACTCATTAACTTTCTAAACCTCATTGCAACACAAATTCACTCGAAAATTCAGAGCTATTGAGGAAATATTCAGAGCTATTCATAGCTGTTTACTGAATAGTAACAACAGGCATACCAAATGCCTTACAAACTCATGGGCTGTCGTAACACTGTCTCGAAAGACGTAAACAAGTGTAGTGCGCGCAATCGTGAATCAATTCGAGACGTATTCCAAACAAAATCCAAATCGCGTCTAAATAAGACTTATACCAACTTTTGCGTATTTCTCGGACGTATACCGAGTTGCCACCATATTTTTCAAGTTGTTTTCAGTATCAATCTGTCTTTTTTGAAAAAGATTTCCGAATTTTAAACTGAAATTTATTTTAATGCGGGTGCAAGAAGAAAGTAGTTCGCGGTATTCATATTGCGTCTTTCCATGCAAATGCAACTATCTAAATATATTCTTAAACGGAAAAAATAAATAAATAAAAATAATGCATAATACAGTGAAATAAATGTTTTGTGTAATAAAATGTTTATAACAAAAACCTGAATTGTTATCCCTTCTAGAATGGTCAATGTGAAGTTTGCAAAAGTAAGGATATACGGTTAATACAAAGAAGGTTAACACGTTTTTGTAACGATTTTGCAAAATTTTATATATAAACAAACCTCAGAATTTTATTTTCTAATATGTTCAGTCTGATAGCCCTTTTGTTGAAATATCATATTACATTTTAATTTTCGAGATAAAAGTCCTTAAAACATCCTCATTTAGTTAATGTTATTAAAATAGTTGTGGACAACCTTGATCACATTAAGTGGCTTCGAATCCCGGAGGTGGCATGGATGTTTGTAAATGTATAGTGTCGGTGCAGCATGGCGGCACTCTATATATGCGGCGAGCCGAAAGTCCTCTTGTGTGGTTTGGTGGAAGGGAAGAGAGGTAGGAGACCCTTGGACCCGTCCCCCTCCCCCGGGATGCTTTCCATCAAAATTGGGGAAGGGGCGGAACTGAGGTAAATTGCACTATCACCTGTATGGTACTCAAGGCTGTTGCCAACGACAGTCTTATCTTGCATTCCTTGCCACGAGGAATTTTGTGGGTTTGGACTGATGTTACTGTCAGACAAGTGAGCATAAGTAACAGCAACATTAAGTGGCATCTGCTGGCTGTTTCGTAAATTATTCTACAAGAGGTGCCCCCAACAGAGCTGGTACTGACCCCTTGGGGTTGATGACATTTTAAAGGAGATGAGTGATAATCAAAGGGTCGATAACCGAATATGCATCGGCAACTGATCGGCGTAACCCATTGATTACAATAACAATAATATTTTATTCATGTAAAAAAAGAGAGAAACACACCAAAGTAAAATATAAAATTAGGCAAAGCAACAATCTTGTGTTTGACGTAGATTTTAATTAAGACTCTGTTGATTTCGAAGGCGAACAGGTACAGGTCGCTCATCATAAGGAGCAAAGAAATTAAGCCCTATAATTTCTTTCTTTCTACAGTTATTTCGAAATCGATACAACATTAATTAAAATCAAAGCCAAACACGAGGTTATTTTCACTAATTATCGGCTATGCTATGTAGAGAGGAAGAAATTATATAAATTAAATGTAAGGAGTAAAATGTACAAAAATTACTTAATATATATATATATGTTGTATAATCTTAAATTCATTTATTGCAAAATATATAATTTTTATGCAATAAGAGCAATATAAAAAAGTAAAACGGAAGAATAAAAAAAAAAAAAAATAATAATAAAATAAGAAGAATGCAAAACTAAAATGGAAAAGAAGCAACAAGTTTAATAAGTTTGAACGAAGTGATTTAAAAATTAAATTAAGCAAATTTTATGCCAAATATTAAAAAAATTGTATCCAGACATCAACAGCAACCATATCATTCATTAAAATCGAACTTATGTGCAATTAAAATCCGTGATTTTGTTTTTGAAAGCATGTTTATATTTATAAATTTAGAAATAATAATTAAACATAAATGCAATAAACCCTGTTTTAGAAACTTTTGTTCATACTCTTTATCTATTTGATATCTTTATTTATATGCAATTATTCGTATTATAATTGTGCTGCGTGCTGTACAACAGAGAGAAACATGTGAGGAGGTCGACTGAAGAAAAACCATTCTTTTAAAAAGGATCGATGCAAAAAAAAGGTAGGTTGGAAATGCCTATTCTACAGAATAGATTGATAATTCTGTACAAAAAGTGTTTTTGTTTACTACTACATTTCCTTTTGGAGAAGTTTAAAACAATATTGTTCCATTTTGTGGTGCTGAAAGGTATTATTTTGTTGTATTATAAGTTGTACAAAAATATATATATATATATATATATATAATTAATTACCTTAAAAGAAGATTTACTTTTAAGACAGAATTCAATATCACAAGAAAATATTTCAGATTTCATAGGCGGATAATAACGAAAAATTATGCAAAATACATTTAATCAAAAGCTGATGTTTTCGTAATTTTTCTAATATGGCAAACGACTTACATTTATGGCGACTTGGTCGAGTTCCATGAAGACACTTGGGTCGCTGTAGATTTCAATTTTCGATATGAGGGGTGGACTTGGAGGAGGAGGATGTGTGGGGTAAGGCACCAGTTCTTCGCTTAAGTATCCTTCTCTGTCATTCAAACTCTGACTCTGAAAGCAAAAATTATTAGTGAATATTAATTATCATTTAAAACAATTCTGTAATTGGAAATTTATGTCTACGGCGAATGACCGAGAAAATAAAAGCCAGGTAAGGAGATGGATATTGCAATAAAAAAGGGAGGTGCGTAACTAGATGTTGTAGCAGTTTCGTATAACAAAATTTCAACGTTCTACGCCTAATCGTTTTTGAGCTATGCGAGGTACATACATACGTAGAGACGTCACGAAAAAATATCTTTTGAATACATTCTACAATCCGTTTTGAGAAAAAGAGTCCTTTATTCTATCCGTATGTACAGACGTCAAGAAAAAAATAGTCAAATTAGATTCGGTAATGGTCAACAATGGATATTTTCGTTGAGATCTAAAGCCCGAAATTTTTTGTGATTACAATAATTCCTTCACTTCACACAAATAAGTTAAAAAAAGATTAATCACAATATTAAATACATAGAATAAACAAAAACTTAATTTAATTTTACTGTGCTTACGAGTAGAGTGTACGGAGGAAATTGCATAAGCGGAAGGAAAATATAAAGAAAGATTTGGATGCGAAATTTCCTTCCATAAAAACATCTGATAACTCTCTAGACTTCTAATCGTGTAAAAATTAAATCAAAGCATTATGACAATATTAGACTGAGTATGACATAATAATTGGTTAGTTAACAAATTACTTTGCAGCTCTCTTTAGGAGCATCTTGTTTCATCTTATTTTTGTCTCTAAGCGCCACCATGCTTGACAATCTCTAGACCTCTGTTTCACTCAAAATTCGCGCAATGTGATTTGTTGTTGCTAATGTTTTAAAATGTTTTAAAGTGAAACATGTCAGTGTCACTGAAAATGCTTCTGCTTATAGCTTGCTACTGCTTTATTGAGATAATATTATCACAGGAAGACTTTGAATCTTTCCCTATTTTGCGCAAACTTTGCGCCTAAGAGAAACTAGGGTCATATTTTCTTCTTGTTCAGCTGTTTCTTCTACTATCGACTTTTGTTGCTGAAGTTGTTATAATTCTTTCCTATTGGGATCATTTTTATAGTCCTCTCTTTATTTCTTCACATTTTCATTGTTAATTTCTTAGGTTTTTATCAAGAGACACAATATTACAGATAACAAAAAAAAAAAAAAAAAAAGTCTTAAGTGTCAAAGTCTTTGCCTGCAACCCAATCTGATTAATTTCTTCCTGGTCGAAGTCATGACTGTGTAAGGTGTTCGTGACACTTAACCGACGAGACGCCTAGCCAACAGCAGTTAGCCGACAGGCCGAAAGGACATTTAGCCGACATGGACATTTAACCGACAGGATATTTACCCGACACGAACATTTAACTGACAGAGCATTTAGCTAGCAGGACATTTAGCTGACAGAAACATAAGCCAACAGGTCATTTAACCGACATGGACATTTAGCTGACAAACATTTAACTAACAGCATGTTTCGCTGGCGATGCGTATATAAACAAAACAAGTAATAAAAGACAATGTTTTAGTAAAATTTGTCCATATTTATATGAAAAAAGGGATGTTTTCAGAGTATCCAACCAGAAGGTTTATGAATAAGTACCATATTTTTTACTTTAATATTAAGAAAACTCTGGATTTTAAAATTAAACAGAAAAGCAACCTTATTTTGGCGTACATTCTGAAATCAGTTTCCAGAGTAATCAGACATAGGTTTTATACGTATTTCAATTTGGTATGGTTTATTTGATTATGACAAAGTACTGGAAGGCTATTTGCCTAACGGAAGGAATGTCTTCGTGAAGGACTTTCTAGGGAAAACTAGCTCGTACACACGTTACATATGAGGAAAGCCACGAAAGCAATGGAGCCAACCCGTCCGCCGGGATTCAAACGCCGTACCGAACTATGTTCAGCAACTTTACCGCTCGGCGGTTGGTGGGCTCTTTCTCTGTGTTTCAGAAAAGGGATAAAAAATTTCAGAATGAAATAATTTTATATTTAAAGAAATGATTGGACAAAACGAAAACAAATGCAACGCGATCTATCGTGGAAAATAATAATGAAACGTGAAAAAGCTAAGATATCAGAATTTTGAAAGCGTACAAAAATTAATGTCATTTACTAAAGAAGAAATTTTTTAGTTAATGTGAAAGGGTTTAAAGAAATTCAGTTAACAATGCATTTGTTTTCGCTTTGCTCCGTTCGTTTTTTCATATAAAATCGTTTCACTCTTCCGACTGCAGAAATTTTCTTTCCCACTTCTGAAATATAGAGACATATGTCCGATTACTCTCGTAACTGATTTCAAAATCTTCCCCAAAATAAAGTTGTTTTGTTTCCAATTTTAAAATCCATAGTTTCTTCAACATTAAATTAGGTCAAAAACATTGCACTTGACGATAAACCTTCTTGTTAGGTAGCCTGGAAGCACCCTTTTTTCCTCCAGATAAATATGAACAAATTTTACTAACACACTCTCGCATGTTTTTTGTGTATATGTATGCGTTGTCAGCTAAACGTGCTGTCCGCTAAACGTCTTGTCGGTTAAATGTCCTGTAGGTTAAATGCCCGTGACGGTTAAATGCCCTATCGGCTAAAAGTCTGTATCAGCTAAGTGTCCTGTCGGCTAACTGTCCTTGTCAGTTAAATGTCCTGTCGGCTGCTGTCAGCTATGTATCCGCAACCGTTGTGTAAGTATCGAGTTCCGGTAAGTAAAATTAAGCAATAACAAATATTAAGATAACGTTTCCAGAAGTTCCTGAGTTGCCGACTTGAGTGTTCGTAACTCGAGATAAATTTCGTCATTCAAGTTGAGGTTTTTTGGTCACGTAATTTGAAGAAAGGCGTTCATGATGCGAGGTTCCACTATAACTTGATTTAAAATATCGTTGATGAAAAACAGCACGTATATCTTAAATAAGAGATTGATCAAAATAGAATTTTAGAAGATTCCTGATTCAACTTTCTGGAAAAAGGTAAGAGAAAGGCTTGGCAATACCTTCTGGTCAAGGAATTATCCTAGATCATATTCCTGCTGCAGCTGAAGCATCATTTTGTCTTTTAACTGCGCATGATTGCTTCAGTGAAAACGGGCGTGATTGCTCTTTTACATTAGACTTGGAAATGCTCCTGTGTGTTTGTTCTCTTCGTAGCTCTGGATAAACCATGAGCACAGAAATACATACTCTGCGCTTAATGGTTTTGTTTCTGTCACCCAAAAGTACTGGAAGGCAAGACAGCTGCTAAACTGCCAAAAGCCAGAAAATTTTAAATAAATAAATAATAATCTTTAGCTTATACTAATCATTCATATAATTTAAGCTATTGCGGTTATTGCAAATTTTGCCTTAAGCTTCGTTCACGCAGTGGGTTTGAAGTCATAAGCGATCTAAGCCGAGTTTTTGCTAGGCAGGCAGCCCTTGCCACTCCATAAAAACTGGTTTAAGGATCTGCCTAAAAGTTCTAACTGTTTTATGAAAAGTTAGTATAACAGCCACCAATCACAGCGGAGCAAACATCGGTCGACGATAGTGCTGAGTCAACTGCATATTTATGTATGCGCATCTTTCGCTTTCATGACTGGCTACGGCTTAAACCCTGTTAAACATGTGTGAGTGGACTTTAACTTTTCTGCTTGCAAAAACACAAAGCTTGAATGACAACAAAACCGCCAACCAACCTAGGAAGGAAAAATGGCGGATTCGTAAATGCGTAGCTAACTCAGTGAAACCATCGACTGATGCTTGCTTTACTTTGTTTGGTAAGCTCATGCCAAGTGGTTTAAAGTTGAAAAGTTAGCACATTTAGGCAAAATAGTTAGATCAGTTTTCTGACGTACCAAGCTCTGTTTGCGTCACAACGAAGCTCGGCTTAGACGACATATAATTTTAAAACCACCATGTGAAACGAAGCTTTAAAGAATATAGAGTTTATGTTTGGAGAAGAGCTTGCTTGTACGCCTCATGACCTAGTATTCTGGTATGTTCCGTGGTAGGTGTGAAAACACAGGAAAATGCTGTTTATTTTATATTATGTGTTGTTTGATGAATTTCATACCAGAATTGTAACAAACAAACTAATACATTCTCCGTACAGCTACAGGCAATGTGGGGCGATTGAGACCTAAGACATTTGGCACGTCAGGTAAAATAATAAGAAGAGACATACATTATGATAGTTTAGTTATAATACTACGTTAACTATTAATGCGAAAGTGAGGGAAAAAGACGTTTAGAGAGCGCAAGTCTTAAATTTATCTCGAGAGTTAAAACTTACAGCTCGGAAACTCAGAACCTCTATGTGGGCTATAGCAAGACTACCTAAATTTTTGTTATAGGCTAGAATTCAAAGTATCTGTTTTGGCTGTAGCCAGGACTGTCTATTCCGATTTGAAAGATTACAAAAACCAAACAAGCCGTGCTTATTATAATAACGTTACAGAACAATTACAGAAAACCGGCGGTAACTTGTCCTGCAGAGAATGCCAAGAAATTCATATCTGTAAGGATTTATTATGCTCTTTAACTTTGTAGGGTTCCTCGCCGTTTGTCTGTGATAAAACGTCGAGGAACCTAGTGAACTATGTAGCGATTTATTGATGAGTTCAAACAACTTAGACTCGAGATGGGTTAAATTACCCTTTTATTCACTCAAATAAAAATAACAGGCGGCTTCTTCTCGGGCTTAACTCAGAATAAAAAACTAAACTATAATTAACTAAACAAGACTTAGTCGAAACTAGGCACAATTATCTAACGTAGTTGGCCCTTAAATTAAACTAGCCGGCGAATATCAATAGGCACGCATAATACGGCCGAGTGTAGCAGCTTCAAGAGTGATTTAGTCAGAAGACAAATAAGCGCCATTAAAGACTCCTAGCACTTTCTATCGAAGTAAAAGTTGAACCTTCCTTTCTTCTAAACTCATTTGTATTCAACGCGTTTCTAAGAATTCTTATTCTGGTAAAGAGTTGTAAGTGGAAACAAGAATTGATAGAAAAGGGTTTCAAAATTAAAATAACTGTTATCAAATTAAAATATATCTTACAACTTTCAAAATGGGAAGCTGTAGGAAATATGGTATTTACTCACAAGTACAAATTCTGTTCTTTTCTCGTTGATAAGATTCAACATCTCCTTAGAATGTTTCTCTACCAAATCAGCAGTGGCAGCTCTCTCCTGTTCTAGAAGTTTTCTGGTCAGAGATTCCTTCTTCCTATCTAATTTGATAGTCATGTTCTTCTCCAGATCTTCTTTTTCCTTTTGATGCCTGCAAAAGATAAATTGTAATCATTTAGTAATGCTGTGCTAAAATCAAACTCTTTTAGACTCGAATAAATGGTTGCTTAAAGTAATGACGAAGACGTTTATTTCTTTAGATGTAGATAATAATTAAAAAGAATGCATTTTCAGAGGGTGCCAAGAGGTTGATCTTTGATTAAGGATCAAGGCTTAATATATCTCTATTAAAAATGCTTGACAGAAGCCAGAAAAACTTTCTCGTGGCACTAATAGAATTCTGGTTTCTACTAATCTGTAATATCCTAGCTAAAACAGAGTTCTTTGGAAGCTAGAATATTGAAGAATTATCTAGCGACTATTCGCTGAGTCCTTGTAGCGTAAATAGCAAGTCCAAAGAAGGGTTATAATACTCTTTTATCCTAACTCAAAATGAATTACCGTATTTGACGACATATAAGACGCATCCTTATTTAGAAGGCCACACACAAGAAAAAAAAAAGTTTCAATAGCGTGGTTTCTTTTAGTTCTCACGTTTCGTAAAAGCCAAATAAACAATTATTGAATGCAATTACCTTCACGTATAAGACGCAGGTAACTTTTTTGAGACCAAATTTAGGAAAAAAAGTGCGTCTTATATGCCGTCAAATACGGTAACAGGTGGCTCCTCGCGGGCATACAAGAAGCCTCCACTTGGGCTCTAACACGAAATCGAAAATATAATGCTAACTAACACTAAATAATTTAATCAGCCGAAGCTGCACACAATGTATTTGCGTAGTTGGCACATATTAAAGGATCATCAGCGTATATTAGCAGGCACGTATAAGGTACAGCCGTGGAATAGCAAGCTCAGGCTGACAGCAACAACGTGGCCGAAAGGCAGAACGTGCTTTTATGCCCTTTAAGATGATAATGATCTTGCGGTTCGCACTATCGTAAAAGCGCTCTCGTGCGGTAGATTCTGGTATTCCAACCGCTTTGTAATGCGAGCGTTTGATTGGCTCTCGGGATCGCTACAGAAACTTTACACGTATTTTATGAATTAAAAAGAAATGTAAGGAGTATTATGGTCTAAAATTTTCATTAAACGTCTTCAAAATATACATATAATACCGGACAACAATTCCGAGAATTAGTCTGTTAAAAAATATATATATATATATATCACGTAACAGGATACCATTAGTGTTTTGATAGGAATGAACTCACCTGAAAGTTAAAGCTTTTTCCTCATCCGTGGAAATGCGACGTTTTTTCATCTTAATCTCGTAGTTGAAGCGAGACGTCAGCTTTTCTAATTCTTTTTCCCATTCTTCCTACATAAGTAACATGGGAAGAAAAATTTTACAATAAAATTTCTGCAACAAAGCAATTTTTATGTATGTTCTCCGTTAATTTGTAACAGCTTCAATTGTAAATAAAATATAATTAAAAAAAGTTTTATGGAATACGCTTTTATTCAAAATGGATATGATAACAAATGCACTAAAAGGACAAGAATAATATATCATATAGTTTGATAGAAATAATGAATTAAGTAATTCTATTTACGACATTCATATACAATTCTATATCGCGAATAACAAAAGCGGGGAGCGGCCATGGCAAATTAAAAAAAATAAATAAATCAAATAAACTTATACATTTGACGATGCAAGTAAATTAATATATTATGTTATTTAGGCGCAATCATTATCAATCAGAATCTTTGCTATTGACAATTCTGTTTAAGACAGAATTCAGACAATTGAAATTCAGATAATTTGAAGTGGAAGTCAGACAAACTTGCATTCTCTATTCGCTCTTCTTTTAAAATATAAATATGGCTGTCACAGTACAATAATGATTTTGAAAAGTCCAGCCATAGTAATTTCATAAAATGTTTATAAATAATATTTGTCATTAATTAGATACATCATGAATTAACTGCAATTTTTACTTATTGCTTGAGCAATTGCTTACTATTTACTTGAGCGTCTCGAAATCTAGTGCCGAGTTGGTCATAGAGCGCATCGACAGTCTCTTAGTGTATTGCAAGTTAGTGCATCGCGGAGTTTTTATCTTAGAGTGTGTTGAGCTCCGGGAACGACTGAACGGAGTCGAGAGCTGTACTCTTGAGTATGGTCGAGTGCATCGTGAGTTGTAGCGTGAAGAGTCTCGAGAGTACGTAGAGTTCCGAGAACGACCTATGAGAGTCGGGAGCTGTACTCTGGTGCTTTGCCGTTAAGCTGTCTTCACCGTTATAGCCTGAAGGCTGCGTCGCTGATTGTTTCAGCGTGTTTGTAGTAGTTCTCCGACGACTGTAGACGTGCTTTTGGAGCTGTCTTGAATAATACTGGCGAATAAAGTGTGTTTTGATACTTCATCGAATGTCGTCGTTATTCACTCCAAATCCACGAACCCGTGCTGTACATAAAAGAAGAAAAACGTAACAATATTGTCTGGTCCAAGTGAAATCCTTTTCATCCAGACAATGGGAAAATCCGAATAATAGGGTAATCATTTTCCCATATCCAAGATGATATGTTACTGTTTTCACTACACGAATGTCGAGTTATCGCAAAATAGAAATCTTTGCTTCTCCACTTGCAGGAAATATTGTTGTAAAACTCATACGCGAGCTAAAAAATGGACCAGGTTGAGACAGAAGTGAAATTTAAAGAAAACAATTAATTAAAAAGATATTTATAATATGCATTAGTTTCTATTGGAATATTACCTATAATTGTAATATTTTATAGTAATTTCTAATATTAAATAATGAAGAATCTGTATGTATATATGTATGTACATTTTTTTCTCATATTGCGGAAAAACGATCACATGTAGAGCCACCCAATTTGGAACACACTTAATACCCCACCTGAACATAAGCACTATGAAGCCCGAATTTTTTACCTTTATTTATTTATTTTATTTTTATATTTCGTATTTTGCGATAATTTAATGACACTGTGATTAACAAAGTCAGAGATTTAAAAGCGATGAATTGCCATTATTCGAAATAAAATCTATCTTCGAGGCGGCAGTGTGTTGCCGTTCGGCATAGTGTAAGACATGCGACTAATACTTCTGAAATACATTATTTTATCGCAAAGAATATTTTGATGATATTTATTTTGTAAAAAGCCAGACTTAAACAGAGATAAAATAATCCATTAGGAGGAAAAAAAATCTGAAGTCTATCCTTCAATATTTAGTACGAGAGCTGTGCAAATAAATTTCAAAATACAAATGTCCGACAACAAATGTGAGCCACTGTATATGCCAGTGTTAAAATTATGTCTCTCTTAATAACAAATAATTTTTGTCATTAAGAAAAATGACATATCATTACGAAAAATACCATACCCCTAACCAAATCATGGTACATATATTATTTTCTTTTTCAAAATAACTATTTTAAGCGGCTAATGTAAATGGTAATAAACATTAAATATCTGTATTAAAAAAAAGTATGAAAAGTGCGCGCTAAGCCAAAGTTAACAAATGCATGCAGTGAATTTTTCTGCGTATCTACAGTTCATTCGAAGCAGTGCAAAAATTTTTATGACTTTCAACTACTTACCTTTATCTCAGGCCACAGCTTCTGCGCAGCATTTAAAATTATAAAACAGTATCACTAAAGCGTACATCACGAGCTTTTATACTAATTTCTTTCACACAAATGCAGTCCAACCCTGCTATAACACTTTCAAGAAACCGGAAGTTTGGTTCTCTATAGCCGATCTGATAAGAAATGCAGATTATTATTATGCAGATGCAAAAGTATAAGAAATATAGGGTACGCTTACAAATAAAAAATTTGGTAACTTTCGCAAAGCATATCCAAGCCTTTCAAATGACCTAAAAACTGCAACCCCCATTCGGAGGATAGGACTTAATTAGGATTTATATTCACTCAAAAAAGGAGGGGAATAAAAAATTATTATTCTCTAAAAGACGAATCATAAAATGTCTTGTAAAAGACCTAAGGAATGTAAAATCCTTATTCGAAGGATATAACTCGCAGAGCATTTATACTAAACAAAACAAACCGATAAGAATCAAATTTTATTTCTGGAAAGACGAATCAACTGCATATACTGAAATTTATATAATTCACTATTTTCTCTTTCCCTGCGTAGTGAAAATTTCAAAATTTCCACAATAACATCTCCGTTGAATAGAGTTCTGTCTGACAGCTCAGTGAAAGAATTTGATTGGAATCAGACTAAAACCATATGGTGTCCTAACATATGTCTACTGTGTACCCATCCTCCTAGCATTGGTTTCAAACTTACAGAACATTTACTTAGAACACAGAGAACGCGAGAAAATAAAAAAAAGAACGCTAACGCCAAAATGATTTTTACGGATTAACTTTTACGGATGGAATGCGGATCGTGGATCATTTTAAGGGTTAGTAAATTTTTTAACCAAAATCTGCAGAAATTCTAAGAAAATTAAAAAAAGAAGTTAATCGAAGATATCCATATAGTTCGCTATATCCGAGTTTTCATCCGATTCCTTCCATGATTCGCTATAGCAATTAAAATAACTGCATTGGAAATTGAACGGGAGGAAAAATTTCTTTTCGTTATAGCAGGGTTCGACTGTATTATCATCTGATATAAAGTCTAGTATTTCGCATTGTTATTTCAGAAGCATTTTCATTTTCACATATCAGAAGATCAGAAATTTAAATTTTACAGTAAATTAAATTACTTCAAGAAATTCATTTTTCAAAAGAAAATTAAAAGAAGATCAAATCTGCGGCAGTCAAGAAATGACAACTCAAAATTAAAAATAACAGAAATAACAATAATACATACGTCCGAAATTTTGAATTCCAGTTCTAGAGTGCACGATCGAAAATTTTTAGGTGATTTTATTTATTTATTTGAATTCTCATTTATCTAGCCATTATTATTACATTTCAGACCAATTAATGGCCGAATGGACAAGATCGCTGAATACCGATAGTTCAGCCCATATCGCTATCAAGCGAAAGGATTGACAGCATGAAGTTTTCTTATTTTCCCTATTACGTAAATTCTAGTTCAGTTTTCATCAGTAAGTTCCCCACAAAAGCATCTCTCGCATGCTTTGCTCTAATTAATCATACAACTAACCGAAATATTTCTTCAATCTCAGAACGGTAAGATGGTCAACGAAGGTTTATTGATTCCCTGTCGTTGCACTTACTTTCGAATTCTTAATAAGGAACGGATGTTTATGAATGCATAATGTGCTTGCGACATGAGGGCACTTAAAACCTATCCAATGGAATTGCTTGTCAAGAGGTTGGTAGTATGGAAAACCGGGATTCGAGATACTCAGATTTCCTCCCTTGGTCAATTTCCACTCAAGATTAATCCTTTGCGGCACAGTGTGCCCGGTCTAGACACCTAAAAATTTCCTTCTGTACGCAGAGAAGAATTGATTGAAAAAGGATTTATAAGTTACTATAGGTTACTCTGAACCTTCTTTATTTATACTAGATGGCAGCTCAACACAAACCAGTCCATATATTTTAGCCATGTTTAGTTTTTTAAGACCCTCACTTTTCAAAGAAATCTTCGAGATTTTTTTAGGGTATAAAAGGAATTATTTGAAAAGAAATTTCTGTTAATTTTTTGGCTGTATGCTAATCTCCTTATTCTATATTAGTTTTAAATTTTTACCTTGAAATTTTGCCTAAAATCAAATGGCGAACTCTAGGTGTGTCCAGACCGAGCTCACCGATAATCTAGGACAACTGAGTGTCTGTATTCTTTGTTTCTTCACATATCATCGGTCAGTGCATTGACAACAATGCTCGTTCCAGCACTCTTTGCGAAGCTCTACTCGATCAGTGTGCCCACTTTGGGCACACCCACAGAATTAAAACGATAAGTGCTAGCTTCACAAAATTTGACTTGTGTATTCCTCTAGGCCTAATTAGACTGCCTACCTCTTTTTTGTTTATCAAAACTCCAACTTTAAAAGGTAGCGTGCTAGAAAGGGTTAAAATGCAGCTGACAGTCATTGTATACTTTGAAAAGTTTCGAATCATATTTCTTAAATTCAAATCATTATAATAAAATCTCATTAGCAAAAATGTGAACGGTTGAAATACTAACGAACGATCAGTTAAAAAAATTAAATTTTCTAAATCAATAAATTTCCTACAAATGCTTTTTTTGCTATCAATAGAGACATCTAGATATTCTCATTATTAGCCCAAAAGGGACGTTAGTCCCGAATGGGATATTAGTCTCGAAATGGCATTTTCAGCTGAATCACTTTAAACGGCGTATCAGTTTTAAAATTGTTATCGCCTTGTATTATGTTTAAAGAAATTTAATGATGAAGAATCTGCATGAATGTATGGAAATTTTGCGCACTGGGAAAAAACAACGGTACCTAGAGCCATCAAATTTTCAATAACATAATCCTTCACCGAACATGGGCACTTGGAAGCGCAGATGTTGAATTTGTTTTATAATCTATTTCAAAATTTGTAAAACTTTTACGAATTTTCGATTAGCACACACAACGATTTCAAAGCGAACAGTGGTGGCAATACTGTACGGAGAAAAACATTTTTACCTCCAGCGTGAGACTGTCTATTGGAAATTCTAAAGATATGCTGTTTTTAAATATTTTGCGATTTTGCTGTTGAATCTAATTTTATGTGGCGTTAGCGCCAAGAATGTGATATTTGATAAATAAGGTATACACAACGTTACTAATGAAAAGACGAAAAAAAATGTTAAAAACGCAGCTATCTTACTGAGAAAAACTGGACATTAAAATGATGTAAAATGTATGCAATACTAAGCGCTGCGTTAGGAATTAAGCGTATATTGCTATGCTGCTTTTAAAATTTTTACAATTTTGCTGCTGAATTCTATATGGCATAAGTGCGAAGAACATTATGCTTAATAATAAAGCTACAAATTAAAAAAATTGAAACGGAAAGGTAATACTGAGTGCAGCAGAATGGTAGACTGCGAACTCTGCGAGAACGTAAAAACCCTTAACAAACCCTGTTAGGCGACCGTTAAAACCTGATACCTTTCAGATTTATTTAAATATAATTTTTGGCAAAAATTAAATGCGATTGTCGCTAATAAAATTTCTGCTTTACATTTTTGAAATTTATGAGGCAGAGTTATAGTTGTACACAGCCCTTGCCGAATGCGGACTTGCAGAAAGTGATTTCGCGTATAAGTGTTATCTTTACTATCTCCATTTAATTTCTCTAACGGAAGAATTTCAGTTATACGCGGGACGCTGCACAATGTTGGTAGCGTTGCGAAGGCCTCTGTAAGGACTATTGTGTAAATTATCATTCATTAAAGAAGTCAAACATTAATCAGAACAGCAAAAATCTGAGCTTGAAAGGCCTAATTTTCGATAATGCTCCAGGACACAGTTATGCAACCTTCATAACATAGCATCCAAAAAGCAGAGGTTTAATTCCTTTCACCGAACACCAATTCATTAATCCAACCAAAAATACCATAATCCTAAATTCATACATATTTACATCTCTGCAAATAAAGAACTAGATGAAAGAATGGACAACACACTAATGGCATTTTGGAAGCAACTCAAAATAAGACACTGCATAGATATGACTAAACTCGCATGGAAGGAGAAGCTGTCAACCGTTTCAAAGGATTTCCATCAATTAAAAATGAAGGCAAGGAAATCCTACACACTGCAAAAGCAAATAAGTGGCGAAGGATTTTCAGATACAGAAAAGGAGGAAATTAAAGAATTAGTCTACATTGATGATCATGAAATGGCAAGAAATGACAAATATTGAACACTAGCCCCGACGGCGAAAGCAGCGATAATAATCATGATAAAAAAGCTTTTAGGAATTGTTAGGAAAGGCATAGGAACTGTCTGATTTTGTAACGTAGAAAGAAGCGAACACCTTATGAAAGGTACTGAAAAACTCTCGCGTGCCTTACCGCGACACGTTTAATGATTAGCCTCAGATATCGTCCCAAGCAGAAATCACCTAGATATTTAAAAAAATTACTAATTAGTAACAGAAATCCGTTCAGTTAGTATTTGTTACGCTTTCCCCTTTTAATTAAAATAATATTTAAGTTTATCAAGAAAATTACATATAAATTCTTAATCTGAACTATACCAAATCCGTTTTTTTTTCACAAAAAGAACGCCATTTTGCCATGCGCGCAATGTGTTAATGATGCAACCCTGTATCGCATGTATTAGGTATAAAGCTTTTTAAGGATATTTTTGGAAATGGTGCAAACTGAACAATATCTTAAAATGCAAATACTATTTTAAATTCCATTCGTTTCATCTCAATTGTAACCTGCAACTAGTTAGAATGCTTTAAATCGTTTTTTGCTTTTACTGTTAATTACTCCGCGACATTTCTAAACCTACGTCTAGCATTAGGCATGACTCATCAGCTATTTGATTTTTATTCCATCAATCAAAATGTGCATGATTCATTCATTACCTGTATCTGCTCGGTGATGTGAACCTCTTCTTCTTGACGTTTTTTCGCAAACTGTCGGTAGAGGGCGTCTTCTTCAGCCCGATGTCGCATCTCCAGCTTTGTCTGCGTCTCTTTATCCTGAGAGATAAGAATAATTTTATTTCCAATAATTATTAACATAAATTATTATAATTACAATTATTTATTAATAATAAGAGGAGGGAGAGAGAAAATAATAATATTTATAAGAGAGAAGTAACAATTTAATTAAAAAATTATTATATAATGGTGACAATAATAATTATTATTGGATAAAAATTTTTTAAGAGTTAGAAATAAATTTTTATTTCCAATAATTACAACTGTAAATTATTATTATTATCATTAGTAGTAGTAGTAGTATAATTAATTGCCATTGGAAATTAATATTAAATTTATTAATAATAATTATTATTAACATTATTTTATTTCCAATACATATTTATTTTACTTTCTTTCCAATAATTTTATTTTATCCTTTTATGATTTATATATATATATTTTCTACAAACAATTATAAATAGTGCTATACACTGTGTCTGTCTTCCCCGGCCTTTATTTTAGCAATCGTTGAGCAATATGTATCTATAGTAGACATATGTATCTATTTACAAAAATGTTTTAAATGATGTTAAGATTCATATTTTGGAAATTTTAAATTTAAAGAAATCAGTTCAGTCAGTGTAGGTAATTAAAATTATTGATCAATGCAATTTTTTCCCAAATTAGGAATTTATTCAAAGAATCTTATAAAATCCGTGTTCTAGAAAACTCCGATACGATATGTTGGCTCGGATATCGGCAAGTAGCTTGATATTATTTGTATTAATTGAGAATAAAAAAATATTTATGAAATTTAATGAATTTTTTATGATTACCAGATTATGTATGTTCTCCCTCCTTTCTGCATGCCTTCATAGTGCAATGGTAGCACACTCGGCGCATATTCCAGAGGTCCAGGTTCGAGTCCCGGCGAGGGCATTTTTTATTTTTCGTGTTTCCTATTTCAAAAATTCTAATGACTCTACAGTGATACCCGAACTAAAAGATGGTTAATGATGATTCTTCATCACCAGGATTTGGCGACTGGGTCCCGTAATTCCTAGTCGCCCTTTAAAAGGGAAGTATTTTTTCCCTCCTTTCTGCATGCCTTCGTGGTGTAACGGTAGCACACTCGACGCGTATTCGAGAGGTCCAGGTTCGAGAACACTGCACATTTTTCATGACTGAAGCTTTAAATAAACCTAATATATCTACAATTCTACTATAATAAAACTTCATGAGTATATTAATCTCATTTCCCTCCCCACTATGTCATATATCCATTCAAAATTTACACAAGATTAAAAAATTTATATTTCAAAATGAAAATTTAATCTATTATTTTTAATCCCTAAAACATTTTTTATAACTTTTTAAATACTCAAAATCTTCTATAAGATCTTTTATAACAAATTAAAGCAAAGAAACTTGGCTAGAATTCTTTAGATGTATGCCTCAGTTTTCTATACACAGGATCTGATGTTTTCAATATAATTCTCTTAATTGATTCAATACACATTAAATAAGATTCTGTACTATGTATCTATTCTGTATCTACTTTAGAAAGTCTTTATAAATATTTATAGAATTCCTGCACAAATCTCTACAGAATATCTACACATAGTTCTATAGAAGATTATATGTAAAATTTTATAGATTTATATAGAAGATCTCTGACCTAGTTTACAGAAAACTGAGCGATTCTAAAGGATTCAAAGCAGTAGAATTTTTTATAGAATTCTAAAACGTATTTCGTATACCTTGAGACAGGCGCTTACATTTAGCTCTAAAATTCATTTTTACAGTTTCAGATTGCGTATTTTGAACGCACGTGGTCAAACATTTAGATTATTATCACAGAAATGCATTTATCTACAACAAGTTTAAACAAATTTGTAGCGAACTTAAAGACGTCGTCTTATTTTTCGATAATATTAAACTCGGCATTGATACGCTATCTGTTGAGATGTCACGTTAAATTATATTCTTACATCACATCTGTTTTATTGTTGCCATTCTGTTAGCTAGAATTTAGTACAATAAAAGGATTATAAAATTAAACTTATTCTTCCTCGTCATATAAAGCAAAAAAGACTTCATGCAAATGCAAGAAATGGCCTAAATTTCACATCGTAAGAATTAGTATTGTTTTATTTATTTATTATTTATTTATTTTTTTTAGATTTTTTAAAAACTGGTGACGAAGTATAATCTCTCGTGGAACTTGTATTGGACGAAACAAGCCATTCTGCTTTCTTGACAAAACAATAGAGCTACAATTGAAAAATCAATTCCTCAAATATAGCGACCCGACAACCTGTATTTCAAATTTTCATACCACATCATTTTGTCTGCAGCTCATAGAACGACCCAGTTAACGAACCGCGTTAAATTAATAAGAAACTTTTCTATTGTCTCCAGCTCTGCAATGACGTTGTATTTTGAATCTTCCAGGCACGCTCGAAGAGGTACATTTTAATTGTTGCACCCAATTTGAAAACGGGAAGTAGAAATCTAAACTTATAATAGACTACAGCTGTGTCCTCAAACTTGCGGCTGCTGAAGCAATTTTATGCGGCCCGCGAATACATTTTAATTTCTTGTAAATACGGTGTTTCAAAGATTTTACGATTTTAGTTATTTGAAGTCCGAGTTTATATCACTTTCATTACCATTAGAAACGAACATGTATAACGCGCCAAAAAATCAGTAAATGGAGCTAATTAATTTATTGTATATAAATCTTGTACACAGATTTGGAGAAGCAGATTTTTATTCACTTTTATTCGCACTTGTAAAAAAATAAATGCATTTAATTAAGACTCAGGGAATACATTTATATGCGAACAGCTTCTTTTCGGAGTTGAAAATTAATAAGAAATTAACCCCATTGAACGGTGAGCATCTACAGTCCGTGATGAAGATAATTTCTAGTAATTTCTCTCCAAGACTACAGATTTTATAAAAATTTATAAACTCCATCAAATGTCAAGCTGTAGCAAGAAACGTAGAAGTTTATAAGTATTTACATACAAACATGAGTATTTTTATTTAAACGTCAAAGAAAAGACAAAGTTATCATTATTTACTCTCAAGCATTGTCCTGCTTGGAAAGCTTTCACTGAAAAATTAAAAAGATTTTATAGTTTGTTTATTTTTATTTTAAATTAAATTTAGGTTAATACGTTAAATTAAATAAGTTAGAATTATTTGGAATATATGTCAGTTCGAAAAATTTAATATTTACAGCTGCCAATGTATTTGAATTATAAAGCGTAACCAATAAAAATGTTTTTCAGGTACCAAACTTTAGATTTCAGATAGAAAAGAAGTTTGAATTTTTTTTTCTTTGCTACATTATTATCGTTTATGTATAGCGGAATTTAAAATTTACTTAAAACATTTTTTAATTTGTTATTACAAATTTTTCATTTTGTTAAAAAAAAAATCTGGCCCATCATCTGTTTTTAGATTCAGTGTGCAGTTTGAGTTTGAGACCACTGGTTTAGGTAACCGGAAAACAATTTGGATGATGTCAATTTTTTTAGACGCACAGATCTCTATGACGATCGCTTCAGCACAATGAGTCAGTCCGTCGGCTTCCTGCTTCAGGTCACGCTATGCTGTCTTCCAGCGTGCTAAGTGGCCAGCCTCGCCGCGATGACAATCGCTGAAGCACAATGTGACCCACGCCACGCTGATACAGACAAAACGAAACAAAACAGGAAAAGCATTACGAAACGGTTACCTTACCTAAATGTACTAGCGGAAGTACAGCTCCCTCTTAAGTGCTTTGTAATTAAAACGTAAAAACACGCATATTCATAATGTCATTACTATGAAAGTAATTTTATTTCGAAAAGAAAAATTTTGTAAGGAATAATTTCTGCATAAAGGAACTTAATGAGCTAAAACGAAGAACTGAACCGGTACAAAATAAATATTTGCTAAAATTTAATTCAAAAGAAACTGCATTATAGTAGTCGAACTAACACGGAACTGATTAACGGATTTCTGCCAGAGGGAAATTAAAAATTAAATTTTATGAAACCATTCCTAGTTAAAAGATCGAATAATTCCGTACCAAACTAAAAAAGTTCCCCCCCCTTCAGTAATTCAGTACATTAAAAATCAAGTACAACAATATTAAAAACATTCAACATAATTCTGCAATTCTGCTTTAATATTAACCGCATATATGTAATTCAAATATTAAAAATCAAAATGTAATTCTAGAGTTTTGGATATTAAAAATCAAATTCTGTTATTCTTCAGTAATTCTGTATTAATTAATATTAACCCCATTTCTGTAATTCTAGTATTAAAAAATTCCAAATGCAATTATAAATTCTGTATTAATATTGAACGCATTTCTGTAATTCTAATATTAAAATATCTGATGTAGACACAACATTACTTCCTTAAATTTATACATTCAATGCACTTTATTCGTACTTAAAATTATACACATTTTTTACTCCGTTTCATTTGCACTTATTTCCTCCAATTTCATTAGAGATACATTTCTAATACCATCAGTTCGGTTCTCACTTTGCAGCAAAGCAAAAATACATAAAAAACTCAATCTTCATTAAAAATTGTAAAAAAAAAAAAAAAAAAAAAAAAATACAGTTAAAAATAATTTTACAATTAAAATTAGAGTTTGTACGCGCCAGCGAGCTGGAACGCGAAATTTTCGGTGCACCAACTAACTTATATACTATTCTACTAAGAGTTTCAAATCCAAACGAACGACGGCCTCGTTAGGCTTAGCGCCACTACAACTATTAAATTGCTGATAATTCTATAGCTATAGCTTGCAGATTAACTAAAGACATACAAACCTTAACCAGAACATAAGAACAACTTAATTCAATCATTTTTAAAGCAACAAATGCACAATTTACTAATATATAAAAATAAAAAACCTCAGCTCACCGAGTCAGTTAACACAATGACAATATATATGTATATATATACACACACACACACACACACATATATATATATATATATGTTTGGTGCGGACGACTGCAACGAAAAAAGAAGGTGCCGAA